TCATTCTCTAAGCATTTTTAACATCCTTTCGTTATTTATAAACGAATGAAATTTTTGAATTGGGACACAGAAAAATATGACATAAATAGTGGAAATTTGTTATCAACAAAAGTGCTTCCGCTTTTTCCGTCGGAAATGTGTGCAAAATAAGGATGAAACTTGTCTCTTGTTAATGATGCTACCACCTCTCAGTCAGTCAAATACACTTGAAAAAAAAAAAACTAGCAACTCCAAAATAAGCTTTCTGAATATTCTTCGTAATATAGCCCTCCTTAACTTCCCTCCGCCAGTTCTCTCCTGCTGGTAATTAGGATACGGGCTGACAGACAACGGCATATTCACAACTTACGATTGATGCCAATCATTAACAATGGAACAAAGTCAGTTAAAAATATATCGTTTTTCATTTGGAGGAATAAAATAATTAATTCTTAACAAGTGAGCAAGACAATCATATAAGTGAACAGTACCAATCCTCAAAACAAGACGATGAACTAGTAGCAAAGAAAAACTGCAATTATTAATTAGCGAGATTATGGCTGAGACGCGGAGGCGGCAGTCAGGTTACATTTATTAGAATTGAAAGACTCCTGTCTTTACTTGCTAAATTGACACTTGGATATTCCTAACCAACTGTAAAAGTCTAATGCAGGCAGTTGCGTGAGGGAACTGAGAAGAAACCGCTTTGCCTTCTGCGAAAAACATAAACTGCCAAAAAATCATTAAAATCATAGAGGTTCTATTACCCTTTAAGTCCAACAACTGTGACTGTTCAGCCTGGAGCCATCCTACTGACTACTGTTTACGACCGCAGGTCAAACCTTCCAGTTGGCAAGGAATGTTCCTTGATCTCTTCTCCTCTTGACCTTCTGAGTGATTATTCTTCCATATATATTCTCTTGTCAGATTAGTCTGTCGTCTAGTATCAAGCCATCAAAACCGTTGTTCTTTAGGCGCACAGTAGCGAGAAGTCGGTCCCACCTTAAGCTCACCACAGGATTTCCAGTTTCTATTCCTCTTCGCTTTCTTCTTTTTTTCAATTTCCTTCTGAAATGCTTCTTTCTCTTCAAATTTCTCTCTTATTCGTCTTTCACCTCTTAGTACGCCTAATGACCTTTTGAAAACTTTCCCCTGTCTTTCTCACCTTATTTTTTTTTTCAAATTTTTCGCCTCATTCTTTTTACGTCTCTTCTTTCCTTCTCCCATGTTTCGTACCAAATCTTCTATTTCACCCATTTCCTCTAAGCCCTTCGATGCGCCTTTTAATACGTTTTTTAATACGTCTCATTGAAATATGTGCTCCTCTGTCGAGCTTGAGGCGCCAAAAGCAAGAGAAGTTGCAAGATTTCTGAGGTATCACTGAGCAGTGGAGCAGCGTAGAAAATAGGAAATGTTAGGCTAGTTAAATGAGTGATTGAGTATATATGTATATCTGACGTGCGTGTAGGATTTGAATTCTCATTAATTGCTTTCAGCCTGTTTTTACTGTGTAAAGTCGAAGAATGCATATCTTATTAGAAATTTATTTAGACGTGTAAATGAATCTCAGGAACTTCGACTGTCATTAACAGAAGTCATAATGTGGCTATAGATTGTAAAGGTGGTTTCTGAACTTGTTACCAAAACAATGCTAACTATTTTTTTTGGACATGCTTGCTTTTAAAATCGTACGTGGGGAGTTTTCCTTCTAAAGTTTCTTCAACAGTATTTTAGACGCTTCGTTACGCAAAAACATAGTTTAATGTGTATTTAATTTTTATAACTTCAATTTTGATTTTTATAAATTTTATGAAAAATTTCTTTAAAAATATATACGTTTATGTATGTTTAATTCTTCATTCATTCTTACTTTATTCAATTTTATTTTATTTTTTCTTGCTGTCGCTTTTTTAATTATAGCTTCTTTTAATAAACAGCTTTATTTTTGTTCGCTGGGTTGCTTCGGTTCTCCACTTTAGTTTAGAATTGAGCTAAGAAAACCTATAAAATTATCTTTTTTTTAGTCATTTATAACTTTTAGATGTAAAAAAGTTCTAAAAACAGAGGCGGTTGAAAGTTTAGGTGGAATAAAACATAGAGTATTTGCTTCAATTCTTCACCTGAGTGCTTTTTTAGAAGAAAAAACATTACTTTAAGACAATCTGCAGCTCGTAAAGAGTATTTTATTTATGATGCCTTAATTTTTGATTCTCAAAGTGGTTAAAGACAATGGAACGAAGCTTGACTTTATTTTCTACTAGTTTCTCAAACTTAACACAAGAATGTCCTCCAAGTGATCGAAAAAGTACTGTTATAGAACATCTTAACCGCCCACAGTGAAGGTAAAGTAAACTAGAAAATGTTTAGCTCAGAAAATCTTTTCAAAAATAAAGATATATTTGTAAAATCATTTAAATATTTAAGCAAAAAAAAATTACGGGTTGATAAACATTGAGAAAATAATGAAAAAACTACTTAGCTATTAAAAATTACTTAAACACAATGTAAAAGTTTAGTTGATGATGTTAACAAGAAAAAAAGAAAATTTTGAATCGAAAGTATAATATATGAAGTTACGGATAATTTGATAGTATAGCTCAAAGAATTTTATTCGATGAATCAGCTAAAATACGATAAGGTTGTGTGATGCAGTTATAAACTATCTAAGTGTTTGATCAGAATGCTGTCATAGTCGTTCAACCAGGCAGTAATCCTCAGTAAAGGTAACGCAGGAATAAAACATAAAATAGCACAGAAAAAACTAATGAATCATGTATAAAAAATCATGAAATCTTCGAAGCCACAGTCACCGTCATAGATTTTTTATTTAAATAAGTTTGCGAAGTAAATCTTATTATTAATAACCAATAAGTTGTTTTAGTCATTTGTCAATGACCGATTGCACTGTAGCAAAAAAAAAACTACGAAAAATTTATTCGAAAGCCTCAGTAACATTAGAAAAACAGCAGAAAAAATAAACTCAAAAAAAAGAGAAAATTACGGTACGGAGTAAGGATAGAAACTGCAAAAAATTTTTTAAAGTTTTAATAAAACGCTAAACGAAAAACTTTGTGGATTATATTCTGTGGTAAAAAGCGTAAAGAAGTCGGCAATTTGAAACTGCAGAAATGACAAAAAATGTTGGTAAGCAATACACCGCCAACGCTCTTTATTCTAAAATGAACAAAACTGTGGGCAGCAAGTACTTGTCACATTTCAATAATAATATCATGGAATGTTTGAGCTTAGAGAATCTTACTACTTTAAGCAGTAAAGTCACTGAAAAAAACTGGAAAAAACATCACCGAGAAAACCATACTGAGAAGAAAGTTAAGACAAACATAACGCTCATGGAAAAAAGTTCTATGCGGGATTAGAACGATGGTATATATATATTAAAGCAGACAGTCAGCATTCAGAAAAAGGAAAACCTAAATGATTCTTCTTTTACCAATTTTTGCAGTATTCAGACTCGTCAAAACTTCAAAAGTTCTCTTCAGCTTTTTCCTACCTTCACTAGCACCCCTTTTTTGCAAAGCCCAATTTAAAAAGTTATTAATTTAAAAATTTAAAATGATTTTTTCAAGAGCTGTTAAAATAGATCATTAAATTGTCATTTGTCTCTGGTTTTCCTCTAAAAACTAATCAAAAAATTAATAAAATTTTTTTCCCAGACTTCTAATGAATAAACGATGGTAGTCTAAACAAGGCTTCATTGTGAGCTGTTTCAAGAGCCAATTTCGCTAATTAACTGGTAAAAGCTTAGTTAAACGCAGAAATTTTTTGAACAGTTTTGACACAACATTAAGGCAGAATTCTGATGCGTAACAGAAGCTCTGTGTACGGTACTTCATCGTTCACGAATACCACTTCATATATCTCATAAGAGCACTGAATGTTTTACACTATAACAGCCTACTACCTATTGCTGAAAGCACTGCCACTACTCTAGGCTTCACTACTTTATAACTTTTTGCTGCTGATTCAGTTTAGCTTCGTAGGCTGAGTTGCGTATTAAATTTGTTATAGGGCACCTAATAATAGTGGCACTAAACTAGAAAAAAAAACTAATTTTTTGAGCGTTAATTCGTTGGTATTTGTTCATTTACAGATCGTAGTATTTACTTTATATAGTAACAGTAATAACTAAT